AGAGGGATTTGGAGAGGTAATTTAAATGGTAAAAAATTGCAGCACACTGCTGTGCTGAGGGACTTGGGTGTCCTTGTGCATGAATCGCTGAAGGTGGGATTGCAGGTGCAGCAGGTAATTAAAAAGGCAAATGGAATTTTGTCTGCCATTGCTCGAGGGATGGAGTTTAAAAACAGGGAGGCTATGCTGCAGCTGTATAGGGTCCTGGTGAGGCTACACCTGGAGTACTGTGTGCAGTTGTGGTCTCCTTACTTGAAAAGAGGTATACTAGCACTGGAGGGGGTGCAGAGGAGATTCACTCAGTTGATTCCAGAGTTGAGAGGGTTGGATTATGAGGAGAGACTGAGTAGACTGGGATTATACTCATTGGAATTCAGAAGAATGAGGGGAGATCTTGTAGAAACATATAAGATTATGAAGGGAATAGATAAAGTGGAGACAGGGAGGTTGTTTCCGCTAGCAGGTGAAACTAGGACTAGAGGGCATCGCCTCAAAATAAAGGGAAGCAGATGTAGGACTGAGGTCAAGAGGAACTTCTTCACCCAAAGGGTTGTGAATCTGTGGAATTCCCTGCCCAGTGAAGCGGTTGAAGCTACCTCGCTGAATGTTTTTAAGGCAAGGCTGGATAAATTTTTGAACAGTAAAGGAATTAAGGGTTATGGTGAGCGGGCGGGTAAGTGGAGCTGAGTCTCAAAAAGATCAGCCATGATCTTATTAAATGGCGGGGCAGGCTCGAGGGGCCAGATGGCCTACTCCTGCTCCTAGTTCTTATGTTCTTAATTCTAGAGATTTGGGGTCTAAGGAGTTGAATGCACAACCATCATCATTGAGGTGATAAAATCAGGGATGCTCGGGAGGCCAAAATTTAAGAAATGCAGGTATCTCAGGAGGTTAGCATATTGGAGGAGACTTTAAAGTTAGTGAGAAGCCATTGACAGATTGAACAGGAGAATTTTAAAATCAAGATGTTACCGGGCGGCATGGTGGCTCAATGGTTAGCACAGCTGCCTCACAGCACCAGGGACCCGGGTTTGCACATTCTCCCCATGTCTGCGTGGGTTTCCTCCGGGTGCTCCGGTTTCCTCCCACAGTCCAAAGATGTGCAGGTTAGGTGGATTGGCCATGCTAAATTGCCTGTAGTGTTCAGGGATGTGTAGATTAGGTGGGTTATAGGGGGATGGGTCTGGGTGGGATGCTCTGAGGGTCAGTGTGGACTTGTTGGGCCGAAAGGCCTGTTTCCACACTGTAGGGATTCTACGAATAGTATATCCACAATACTTTCTTCCGGTGATGCCTGGAGTTGATGAGCAGATAATGATGACAGGATCTGCTATTAGGCAGTTTCACATCGATAGTTTGCAATGCCAGATACAGCTTACTGGTGGCATACTGATAGGAAGTGTAGTCAGTTTGTTGTGTCTGACTGAGCTTCCTGCATGGTGAGCGTTTGTTCGTCGATTATTTTTGTAAGTGAGAGAGATCGATCCATCGCCAGCCTGTAATTCAGTGGCTCAGCAACGTGAACCGATACCAGTTAAGAAGGTGTAATATTTAATATTAACCTAACAGTGAGTGCCTTTGCAGATACTGCACCATTATTTTGTGTGATAGATTTTTGAACAGTAGGGGAATCAAGGGGTACAGGGAAAGACCAGGAAAGTGAACGTGAGGAATGTCGCATCAGCCGTGATCCTATTGAATCGAAGAACAGGTTCAGGGGCCAAATGGCCTACTCCTGTTCCTATTTCTTATGGTGTCATGAGTGGCTAAAATTTGAGACATCCCAACTATAAGTGAGATTCAGTCTTCATGATAATGCTACCTGATGTGAGAATCTGACTGAAAGGAAAGCAAAGCAGTTAATACTGATGTGTTGCTTTTTGAATACCAGTTTATGTTTAGTTTTGTCTTCACTGGCCTACATTCAATTTAAACACACAAGATGCTGAATAAACTGGCTTGCTTCAAGAAGCCCTGAGTACATACTGGCGCATTCCGAGAACCCCACTTTCAGTTAACTGACATACCCTAGGAACCCTCAGTCAATACTGGGGACCCTTAGTCAGTACTGATGCATTAGCGGAGACAGTGGCCAGTGGTGCTATTGCTAGACTATTAATCCAGAGACCAAGGTAACGTGCAGGGGACTTGGGTTGAAATCTCACCATGGCAGATGGTGGAATTTGAATTCAAGTAAAATCTGGAGTTAAGAGTCTAACAATGACCACGAAACCATTGTTGACGGTCAGAAAAATCTGTCTGATTCACAAATGTCCTTTAGGGAAGGAAACTGCCCTACACATTTTGGTCTACCTGTAACTCCAGACCCGTAGTGACGTCGTTGATTCTTAACTGCCCTTAAGGCAGTTAGCGATGGACAATAAATGCTGGCCTAGCCAACAATACCCACGTACTGTGAATGAATAACAAAAGAAATTCTTGAGGGGCTAGTAAATATAGACATTGAGCATCTAAGCTAGGTATACCCACAGGCTGCCAGGGAGCAAGTTCTCAGAATTTGACCCAGCATTGATGAAGATGTCAGTGAGAACCTTGATGAGTTGCTGCAGTGCATCTTGGATATGGTATGCACTGTAGCTACTGTGTATTAATGCTAAAGAGAGTGACTGTTTTAATTTGGAGATAGGATACAGATCAAGTGGGCCACTTTGTCCCGAACGGTGTCAAGCTTCTTGAGTGTTTTTAAAGATACACAACAAACTTTAAAAGTATTTTAGTGTATTCTACCATACTCCTGACTTGCATCTTGGGAATAATGAACATGGCTCTTGGTTGTCAGATGGTGAGTTGCTCTCAATAAATCAAATCACTTTTCACTGGAGTATTTCTGTATTTTAACTGGTGTTTTTAGGGAGTTAATTGCACAGTCAATAAAATCTTTTGTGAAAAAGACACTTCAGTGACCTTGGAAATGATCTGACTGTAACTACAGCACCATCCAGTGGAGAGATTGAGTACAGCAGAGTAGAACACTTGTCCTTCGGATGCAATACTTTCTGATGTGAAACTCTTAACTGCGTCCTCAAATCATTCACCAAGGTTTGCTATGAACAGGTGAATGAACAGCTTTCACTGTGTTCCAGAGACTTTTTGCAAGCATGTCAATGAAATTTCTGATAATCGGACGTCTGATCTAATGTGTCACCCTGTATTCAGGACCTTTAATTTCTGAGAAACCAACAAGTAACATTGGAGAATCCCTACTGGGATGTACAGACTGCAAAGCTGAAAGTTTAAAATTCACCAATATAATTTACACTTGAATCACACTGCAGGAAAAGAAATAAAGGGTGAGGCATATGCATGAGGTTAAGGCAGAGATGTTGAAAACCAGTAAAGTTAAAAGAAAATCAGAAAATTAATGTCAGAGCTTTTTGAAAAAAGTCATGAGGGAATAAGATTCCATATCTGTATATTGTTTTTTATCTACGCCATTGAGGCACCTGTTAACTCTACAGCTAATTTTTTAATCCAGTTTTAATAGTAGGTTAGCATGTGATTCCCTGAAATTCACACAATTAGTGATATCTATAGATTCTGTAAAAAGCTATCCGTGCAGATTCTGTGCAAAAGTGTCTAACAATGGTATCTGAATTCTGCATTAAGCTACACCTATGTTAGCCAGATGTTGCTGTTTGTTTCATCCGTAATAATGATGATTTACTGTATTAAGTACTGCAAAAGTCCCAGGCTTGCACTTTTATCTTGCATGTATTATTGACAAATAATTTTTGGTATGATCTTCTGACAGTGGCAATGACTGTGACTGAACTAAATTTGCTAGTATGTGCTAAGTAGTTGTAGGAAAAAAAATTGATCATGACATAAATGTTTTGATGGGCTAGAAGGGTTTCATGGGATAAAGTTGTCTTATAGACCTTCGGTTGGCCAGATGAACTGTAGACATCTCTCCCAGTTCTGTACTATGCCGCATAAATGTGTCATTGACAGTGCACACTGGCAATGTTTGTGAGTGCAAGGAGCCTTTGCAAGTAACAACACAAGTCCAGGGAAATATTTGAAGATGTTAGATTCTTAGTAATGATGTCATTAAATTTAGTATGAAACTGAATTTGTTCCAATCATAAAAGCTGTGTGAGAGTGAATAAAATCTGTGCACCACTCCTCCCCGAGTCATCACAAAAGTTAAATATTTTTTAAAATATGCAAAGTTCCCCAACTTTCATTCCCTATTGTACTGAATAGTCATCACTATTTATTATGAGAAATTAGTCTCTAGCTACAGATAAACAATTATAATCCACTGTCATATAATACTACTAATTAAAACTCTAATCCCCCTCATAAACTGTGCCTTACACAAACAGACAGACAGGGCAAAATCGATTATAGACAGAAGGGAAAAACTGGAAAGACAATTCAGTCATCTTTGTTCCCAGGTTCTATTGTTGAGATGATCCTTATGACTCTTCTGCTGGCCAGCATGTTGCTTCACTTGTCTTTCTCTGGATGCTTCCATGGTTGGTAAGAGACACAAGATGACCTGTTCACTCATGAAGTGTCACTGACTTATCAGTTAAAAGTCACAGCTTACAACAAGTGTTGCGGAAAAGATAGGCTGGTTTTCTTCAGATTTACGATGAGTTCAGAGAGATCCTTCCTGAGTTGGGGAAAAGCTGTACATAACAGTTAAACGGTATTAACTGCTGTTGTACGAGCTAAGTTCATACCATTTATAAATTGACAGCAATTGTCATTAATAAAACCACTGGAAGGGCAGACTTTTCTTGGTTTTGGAAGTTGTAAACATGTGCGTTGGCTGCGTTTTCAAACAACCTGTGCAGGCATGATGGATTGTATTGCTGCCTCCTGTGCTGCTTGATTCTAAGAAATGGGTGAAGCAGAATTGCTTGTTTGGTTTTGACTGGGTGATTGCCTATTTGTAATCTGTTTTTGCTTACGGGCAATTATTGTCTGTTTCTAGGAATTTTTAAATGAATTGCTCTCTGCCTGGACAGGTTTCACGGACTTACTGTTGTGGCACATACAGAGCGGGTCCAATGAGACAGATCAGCTTGGTGGGAGCAGTGGATGAAGAGGTTGGAGATTACTTCCCTGAATTTCTGGACATGTTGGAAGATTCTCCATTTTTGAAAGTAAGTATGCCAACTTTAATGGCGAAGGATTTGAGCATCATAGTACAGAACAGGATGGTCCTCCCTTCCAACATTGTATATACCATCCTCTGTGGCATCAAGTCGGAATATTATGGGTTCAGTTCCCACTCCTGAGACAGGAGCCAGGGTGATGTTCTCAATGCAGTACTGTATGAGTGTTACCCTATCGGGCTAAACAGGCCATTTCTGCCCCCTTAAGGAATGTAAAAGATTCCCAATTGTGTAAAAAGGACCACATAAGGTAAAGCAGTAACAAATCAATAAAAGGCTTTCAGGGAAGAGACAATCAAGATACTATCTTGAAGGGAATAAATAGAACATCCTAAGATGATACTCCCTAGATAACAAGGAAAATAAATGTTGAAATGAAAAGAAAAAAAGCATCTTACAACAGATGTCAGGAGCAGGGTTAATTTAATACTTAGGAGATTTATAGAAGTTTGAGATGGAATTAGAAAGATTCACACAGGAGTAGAAAGGTGTTAGGAGAACACATTGATATGTAACAGCAAAATGAACCCAAAATGTTTTGAAAAATATGAGGATGTTCCTAGTGAAACAAATTACACCTATTAAGCGAGTAAAGGGTTATCTCCATGTAGAGGCAGAGGACATTAGTATTTAAATGAGTCTTTTGCATTTGTCTTCATAAAGTAAGCAGATGATATGAAGGCTGCATGAAAGGGGTGAAAGTAATTGGCAGAGTGGAAATGAACAGAAAAGCCAATGGAATACATCATAGGTTACTGAAAGAAGCAATAGTAAAAATAGTAGAGGCATTACTGAATATGTAATTCCAATGGTACACTGCTATTCAAGAAAAGTGAGAAACCTCAAGCCCATCTGCCTGATGGTGATGTTATTAGAAACCATTTTCAGGGACACCGCAAGTTTTCATTTGGAAATGTCTAGGTTAATCAAGGACAGTCAGTATGGATTTGGTAAAGGCAGACCGTCTGATTGGGTTGATTTGTTATTTGCTGAAGGAACAGAAAATGTTGATCATCAGTCCATCAGAAGTATATCTAGTTTTTCAAAAGCATCTGACATCATTGCCACATAGGATCACATTAAGGTCGAAGCTAATGAAATTAAAGAGAATGCCAGTTTCAATGCAAAATTGGCTCAGTGACAGGTAGCGAAGAATGATGGTGAATGGTGGGGGGGGGATTGTGTAATGATCCAGAGAAAAGTAAAATGATCTACTTTACCTTGACTGTACTCGATGACTGAACATTCACAACCTTCTCTCTACAGAAATACAAAGATTCACAACTCTTAAGTGGGGAAAAAAAAATCACTCCTCATCTCAGTTCTAAATGGATGAGACCTTTTCCTCAGATTGTGCTCACGTGTTCCAGACTAAGCAGCCAGAGGAAGTAGCCTTTGGTGTTGGCCCTGTCCCACCTTGCAAATCTTGTCTCAGTGAGCTCACCTGTCGTTCTTAAGCACAGAAAGGATAGGGCCATTTTAGTCAATATCTTCTTGTAGTATAATCCAGCTGTCCTAGGAATGTTTCTAAAGAACATCATTGCACCCCACTTAAGGCAAGTATGTCCTTCCTTGGATGCAGAGTTGAATACGGCATGTGATAATAGAGTATTGCTTCACCAAAGCCCTATACAATTCAACAAGATTTCCTTGCTCTTGTATTCCAATCTGTTTTCAGTAAACATCAAAATGCCATTTATCTTCTTGTGCAATATTCTGTTATTCTGAATCCAGAGAAGAATGAGAAACTTTAAGGTGTGAGTTGTCATCATCAGGAATGTGCTGCGTGAGAGGTTGATTGAAGTAGGTTCATAGTAACTTCCTAAAGCAAACTGGCTAAATACTACAAAACACAAAGTACTTAATGCAGAGAAAGGGGCCAAATTTCCCAGCGAGGCCATGCCAGTGTAAAAGCTTCCTACAAAAAAGTTGAAGTTACAGTGCTGTTGGGTAAGTTCAGGGTGCTGGAACTAATTGGGTAGCTTCTTTGGAGATCTGAAGAGTTGAATGACTTCCTCCTGTGCTTTATGATTTTATGAAATCTAAATGATTTTGACACCAGAACTATTTTGAGTAATATTTACTGTTCCATTTTGATCAGATGACACTGCCATGGGGCACCCTGTCCAGCCTTCAACTACACTGCCGGTCGCAGAGTGATGATGGCCCAATAATGTGGGTAAGGCCTGGTGAGCAGATGATCCCGACTGCAGACATGCCCAAGTCCCCTTTTAAGAGACGACGGTAGGAAGACACTTGAAGGTTATCTATTTTGAGAGACTTTTGAATACATGAAGAGTTTAGCCGTGACTGTTTCCATTTTTGCACAGGTCAATGAATGAAATCAAGAATCTCCAGTATCTACCTCGGGCCAGCGAGCCTCGTGAAATACTCTTTGAAGATAGAACACGAGCTCACGCAGATCACGTGGGCCAAGGCTTCGATTGGAAGAGCACAGCAGCTGTAGGTGTGCTCAAGGCAGTCCAGTACGGAGAATGGTAGGACAACTAACTTTTGTGTGTAGCAAACCGTACATGTACATGCAGTCCCGCCATGAAACTCCGCCTGTGTGTAAACCCTATCCCCTCAAACAAATTATTTTGTGCTCTTTATTCTCATAATTTCAAACCAAGGCAAGTCTTTTCCTGTCAGCCCTGCCTTGTCAGCCCCTTCAGCCCACCAACCTGTTAGCCCCAGCAATCTGGTATGTTCTGAATTCTACCTTCTGTGGCAATGCAGCATTCCACAAATTTTTTAGTGAGGAAACTTGTCAATGGCTAACGTTTTGCCATTGCAGTTTTCTTGTATCACTTCATTAATGTGCTTTCTCTTACTCAACTGACTTACCCACGTTCTATTCCTGAATACTTTTAAATGATACATTCATTGTGTATTTTTTTATGAAGTTTGATAACATGGTAAAAGCAGGTTATCCTTGTGTCCCACAATTCAACCAATCTGACCTGACTCACCTCAAGATTGGAATTGTTAAAATCCCATTTAACACAACCTTCAACTTCTGTTGTCTCTTTGACAGGAGTGACCAGCTTCGAGTAACCAAAGACGTGATCTGTTTTCATGCAGAGGATTTCACAGATGTTGTACAGAGATTACAGTTGGATCTACATGAGCCCCCAGTGTCCCAGGTATTTACTCTTTGCATTACTTTAATTGTAGAGCTGAGTGCATTTATCAGGTATCCATTGCTGGCTATTGGGGTTCAGCTCATTGAATGCTTTGTTATTTCTCCCAACTTAATGTGAATTGGAATTTTGTTGAATTTGTGAAAGTTACATCTGCTTTAATTCTTTCTGAAGTTTGGACAGGTACTGAGGAGCGCAAGTACATTCATTTGAGTAAATGTATCTGCAATGTGTCTGCTTCCAGCTCAGAAAATAAATAACTGGTCGCATTTGTACAGCAAGTAAACCATTAGAAATTAGATTTTCTCTTTAATAAAACATGAAAGAACTGTGGATGCTGTAAATCAGTAGCAAAGTCAGAAATTGCTTGAAAAGCTCAGCAGGTCTGGCAGCATCTGTGCAGAGAAATCAGTGTTTCAGGTTGAGTGACTCTTCCTTCTAGATTTTTTTCTTTGTCTTTCTCCTCAATCTTAATCCAGTTTTTCTTTCCTCCCCTATCTTGCATTCCGTTATTTCTTTCTCAATCATTAAATCCCATTGGCTAAGCAAGTCAACTGTTAGTCCCACCATTCACAAGTCATTGATATCCTGTTCCCTTCATTGCACCTTCAGCAACTTATAAAACAAAAATAAATTGTCAAGCTGAAGGGTGTAGGACAAAATCTAACTAGCAGGTCATGTTGCAAGACGCCTATTCCAGTTGCTTTTGTGCCAGTTTCACTTGTTGCAGATTAATGTTAATATTACCCTTTTCCTTCACAGTGTGTGCAATGGGTGGATGAAGCAAAACTCAACCAATTAAGGCGAGAAGGCATCCGGTACTCGAGGATCCAACTCTCGGACAACGACATATACTTTATTCCTCGAAATGTCATACATCAGTTTAAAACTGTGTCTGCCGTTTGCAGCTTAGCCTGGCACATACGCCTGAAGAGATACCAGCAGGAAGAAGCGGAACCAAACAATGACTCTGAAATCACTTCTGAAGAGATTAAGACAGAGACCGATGTAAGCTGTTCAGATGACACAGAAATAAAACCTGAAATCCAGGCCCAGTTGCCAGTAATACAGGAAGATCACAGTCATCACACCCAGGATCAGCAAGGTTTTCCACAATGACGTGTGTACATATTTGACTTTTTAAATAAATATTTTTTTCTTTCTTTTTAAACAGGGATGTGAAGTTTTAGTTTTATAAGTTGGCCGGGATTCAAATTTTGGTGAAGAAATCGTGCCGTTCTTTAAAGTGTGCTGCTTGAATTGCAGTGACATTTCAAAGCACTTGGCAAGTGACCGCTGGCCCTGTTTACACAGATGTTTGACCTGCTCATGGATAGGAATTGGACCTACTTAATCTCAGCCTTTAGATAAGATGCTGAAAAAATTAAATAATAGTAGTGCTGATCTTGCAGTCGGTCACAGAGAAACAGATGCAAAAAATCACAGGATTATGACCAGCATTACAAATCACCAACCTAACAAAAGGAGCCTGAACCTTTAATTACTGCGTTAATTGCTTAAAATGAAGAGAGCCATGCTTTTTTCTGTCATTTCACATTCTAGTTGCTTTTAGTTGAAACTAGAAAATTTGCTTACTGGCAAAATAGATTCTTTAGAGACCTTGGAATACACTCACTAAGGTACTATTTACTCTCCAGAAATTAAACTTGCCATTCTCACTCTGTCTGGGTTAATATCTGTGAATCCAGTCATTCCAGATCAATGTGGTTAATTCACAACTACCTGCTCAATTGGCTCAGTTGTGCACAGCTCGGGCAGACAGTGAATGTGGCTTGCCAGTGCCTTCCACATTCTGAGAATAAATAAAATTTAGAAATCCAAAAACGGCAAAATACTGGATGCTGTGGCTAGAAGGTTTTTGTCATGTAATTATCGTCTTGGATATGGTTCAACAAAGCACACTTCTCATTGGATTATAAAACATGGTGAACTAACAGCACTGAAAGCAGGTGACTCACTTCACCTGTTCTCTATTGCCTATTATTGCACACGTGAGACGCTTCCCACTTTTAATTACCTCTTCCTGTCTTTTTCCCCAAATACCTTCTCTGGCTTTCTGCCTCCACCCTGCATCAAACCCATCCATAAATGTCAGTGCTGCCTGCCACATGGAATGGTTGAAGTATAGTGTTTCCACATCCTGTCGCTCTGAAGAAACTCCTCTTTCATTGTGTGCTATGTCGTCAATGATTATCTTTTATTTGTGTCCTCTTCCTTTTGGACTGTCTTATGAGTGGAAACAATCCACCTGTGTCACCCTGTCAGACCCCTTCATAATCTCAAGGCACTTATCAGGCTCTCCAGGCAAAGGACACCCTAAGCCTGCTTGATCTTTCCTGAATGTCACCGCATCCCTTTTTTTTGAGGGTTAGGCTTTCACAGAGCCGCAATGCAGGATGATAGACAGAAAAAGACCAATTTCTCCATCTGTCAGATACAGGCCAGGTGCCCTGACCATCCACAAATATCAACACAGTCTAGCTGGAGCAGGAACAGATTTAAAAACAAGAGCCAGGTGGTCATTTTAGGGTGGGATATAATGGAACATACACCCATTTAAGAAAAAAACCAGAGGAGGAGAACACATTTTCTGCTGTTTATAAAACATCTTATTTTGCGTATCTTAGTCTGCTGTGATCTCTGCTCTAACCTGGAGCTGGCCCAGTATGGAGTGAATCTGCAATTAACACCTGAATTGGCAGCTTGTCATTATCCTCGGGAAATCAAACACTTGCTCCATATAATCCAGCACTTCTAAATCTTATAATGCATCACAGCACCCTTTCTTGTTTCACCATACCTCCCCAGTCCTTCTGCAGCTAAGGTAGTGTCCACCCATTATTCTTGAAATATCTCAGTCCAATCCCTCCCAGAGTCTCAGCTTTTCTTAAATAAATTAGCCCAGAATTTCATATTTGTATAAGTAGTAAAGATGAGTTCAAAGGCGTAGGTGTATGGTGTGTATGCATTGGAACTGATGGCAAATGATAAAGGTGGCTGAGTAGCTTCTGTTTATGTTTAAGACCAGCCAAGTGCATGTGGAAGTATTGTGTATGTGTATTTGATTAACTAAGGAATGGGCAATAAGCGTTAGCCTAGCTAGTGATACCCACATCCTGTGAATGATTTAAAAACAAAAATACTTTTAACCACAGCCACAGTCCAGGTCAGTATTGGCCTTATACTGTGGTGCCATCTACTGCTGAGCTTTGTATTGTTAAGCTGGCATTGTTGATCTATTCTGAGTTCTTTTCACCTCTGCAGTATAAGGAGCTAATATCAGATGCAGTCCATCACTAAGACTCTTGTCTCCCAGTCCTTACACATGTGAAATGAATCATTTGATTTTCTGCCAGGATTCTACAGTAAAATTGGCTGCCAAGGAGAAAAGGTGCAGATTTGGCACTTTTTCTCGCCCTCTGTTTACGCATGCCGATTATGACTGAATATGACCTTAGTAATGCTTAACCTTCTGCAAATTTGCTCCTTCTCATCCACTCAATACTTAGGGTCTCCTTAAAATCCAACAGCTAAAGGAAAAGCATGTTTAAAACTCTGATCGGGGACTTGAAGGGTGGAAAATCTAAGAAGAGCAAAATGGTCTCTATCTTGTTTGCTGTCATGTAAGGATCATGCTATTGTTTTGAAACTTGTGAAAATCTGGAACTTGGAGAAAACTGCTGACTACAGTTAATCAAACCCATGTTCAGTAAGTGTATTATCTGATGAGCACACGCTCTCACCACCAGCCACCACTCAGTCTCTGCCTCTGTCCCTGTTCTGAATTATTGCTCATCAGTGCTGTTTTGATCAGTGTTTCTTCAAACTTTACAGTCTATAAATACGACGTGTGCTATGCTGTTTTTCACCTCCCTGTATCGTGTGTGGAAACAGAGATTGAGTTCACCATGTGTAGAATCGGGATCTTTCAGAGGTGATGTCCAGGGTACTACTTCACACAAGGTGCAGTAGAAATCTAGAATGCTTCCCCTTTTTTATGATGTATTACGGGTTATAGCACCAAGAAGGAGAATTGGAGTAAAGATTCAGATTGGCTATGATCTAATGAAATGGATGAACAGTCTCAAGGAAGCTGAATGGCCTTCTCCCAATGTTATCTCCTACTCCAAATCACACCTTAGCAGGGCTTCAGAGCATAGGAATTGCAATCAAAGAAAACTAGCTTGCATCCTGATTGTTGCTTGTTACAATGATAATGGAGTTTTTAACTAACCAGAGTGGCAATGGTCAATCTCCATCAATTAATCTACAACAGAGCCAAATAAACCAGGAAAGCCCCAGGTGCTGGAAAGTTTGGGGAATGATAGAGCTGACTATTGCTTTTTTAAAAAATCTTGTCTTCTCTCCATCTTAGCCCAAACTTGCCCGCATTGAACAATGGCCTTTCCTTCTTGATACCTTAAATCACAAATTGCAGAATAACTGAGGCTCGAGTCAGTCACTGTTGTGAGTGGTGGGGAAGCACATTATAAATATTATTTCATACCTACCACTGCTAAATTTCTAACATTTTTGATACTTTTGTATTTATTGTGAAACAAATAACTTGAGCTTATTTGAAACTGGCAATGAAAGCACATGGCCGGTGTGTTTGGGGAGGTGCTCCTTATTTTTAACCACAGAGATCTGGTTCTTTCTCCATTGTTGGATTCTCGCTAATTCAATCCTGCGCTCACTGCAAACGATTCGTTTCCCCGTGAGCTGACCAATTCAAAACTAGAAGATTTTTTATTTTAAAATATCCAATTTAACCTCCACTGAAAATTCTATGGGTCTCAATGAGTTTAAATTAGGGAAAACTATTCTACCAACTGGAAGGTCAAGAACCAGAATTATAGATGTAAGGTAATTGACAATGAGGCCAAAGGGAAGCTGGGGAAAAAGTGACATTATTTCAAAATAACAAGTTGTTGTGATACAGAATGCACAATCAGAGCACGTGGTGGAAGCAAATTTTGTAAAGAGTTGGATAAATACTAATTGAGGAATAATTTCTGGCTGTGGATAGATTTTGTTGTGCCATTAGAAAAATGGGGAAAGAGGGGAAAAATAGAATAGCGGTGGCAGATCCTAGTGAATGATGCAGAAGCCTCCAGGAACCACATGACCTGCTCATCTTGTTTGTGCGGTAGGGGGATAAGAGAGTTGATTCAGGATGATGGGATGAATGGCCTTTTTGCTGATCATTCCATTATAATTACAATTTCTACTTTACTGTACTTTGCTTCAAAAGTACTTAATTTATTAAGTACTTAGAGACATCTGGTGGCAGCGGAAGGTGCTTTAATACAAGTCTGTTCCAATTTGTTTACAAGATTGTCTTTTCAACCCTATCTTCACTTCTCTTCTTGGTTCCCTTGTCTTTGTGTAGCATCAGGAGAATTAGGTTCCAGGAAGGATTGGGCTGCAATCATGTGCTGTCCTAAAATGGTAAATAGGCAGGGAAGTATGATCTGCTTGATTTGAATCAAGTCTGAAACAGCACTTCCCAGTAAATTCTATGTCCTCAAAGTTGCATTACAGCTTGTGGGAGAAAGTGTAACAGGTGTAGTCTGCAATCTTCACACTGACATGGCAATGTTCAGCTGTTAAACTCCACCTTTGTGGGAAGTTTGTGTAATTTTTAGGCTATATTATGGGAAGCAGTTCCATAAATTTAGGCTTGTATTCCCTTGAGTTTAGAAAGTTAAGCATGACTTAATTGAGACACTTTAAAATAATAAAACCATTCGGTTGGGTAGATACATAAAATTATTTCCTCTCTGGAACAATTTCAGAATAAAAGGGATTTGATCTTAATCAGAGATTAACCAATCGAAGAGTGAAATCAAGAAATCTCTCTTTCAGAGAGTGAAAATGTGAAGCTCTGTTCCCCCACAGTGAGCTGTGGAGGTTAAAACTAAGATCAATTGATATTTATTGGGCTAGAATATTAAGGTGTTTGGACAAAAGGTGGGTAACTGGAATTGAGCTGAAGTTGTTTTCATTGAATAGCAGAATAAATCAAGACTGAATGGCCTGTTGTTTTATTGATCTGTTTGACAGTGGTTTTTATATAGATGGGGAGATATTTGAAGGTTGGGAGCACATACTTCCATTGTTCAGTGGGCATGAAAAGGAAACCTTGCAACTTGTATAAAAGGATTCGAGTATAATTTGCAATTTAATAATATTTCACAGCCTTAATGCATCCTAAATGCTTAATACTGATTAAACACACTTGAAATGTAGTTTCTCTTATGCTGTGGAGTAGGATAATAAAAATGCTGCTGCCAGTAACTTGTAGGTGGAAGACTTTCCAGGTCTGTCTTGCTGTCAAACCTGATGTCAAAATAATTGGATTAACTCATCACGAGACAGCATCATTTACCCCACTTGGCTCATTCACATCGATTCAACATTTGTGCCCAACAGTGTCTCATACTACCTTATATTCTATAAGTTTCATCAGCTTTCCAAGCACGGTTTTGGTGCGGGGAGTTTTACTCAGACTGGCTAAATAGACCAGTTTTTAGTGAATAATTTTCAATGCTTGGCATGCAGCTACCTGCATACATCCTACACTTGGGGAAACCCAATGGTATTATTGTGACATATACGCACTTCAAGTAATTCTTTTCTTAACTCCAGTCACAGTATCTGGTTGCTCATTTCATGTCACCCATTTGGACCTTAGGAACAGAATTAACCAAGTTAGTCCCTCAACTTTATTCTGCCAAAATGACAAAGGTTCATCTAATGCAGGGTCCATTATACACCTTTTGCCATTGATAATTTGGGCTTTGTATTTGCTTTGGTTACTAATTGAATCACTATAATATATATGAACAGAAGTCAGTCATTCAGCCTGTAAATTTAACCATTTTCCAAATCCTAAATCATTGAAACTGGGTGGCTGATCCTCAGGAAAATCTTTTTGTCCCAGTGTTGCTCTTCCAACAAGTCTATCACTTGCTTCCTCCATCCAATGCCTCACCTAATCTCATTTGCTGAATCTGTGACAGTTACAGTAAAGACATAAACAAACTTAGCAGATGGCGGACTGATTTTTGAATCTGTAGAACTTAATGGTCAAACAATTTAATCTGTGTAAACGGCTCCTAAGCAATGAGCACTTGCCAACATGATGGACAACTTTCTACTGAAGAAAAATTAAATCATCCAGACATATAGGGAAGTAGGAATTCCACAAACTTGTTCTCCACTTTTTATTGAGAGGAGCTATATACAGTGTCTTGTCCCGAATATGATTTTTAAAGGTAAAACTTGGTCGTTCAAAGTAAAAATTGCTTCCCAGGCACTTGTATTTTCTAATCACTTTACTGTATTTGTAATTTTTTATCCATTTATATTTGTAAGTTGTTTTAAAACAAAGTATGGCTCCTTTAAGATATTGTGATATCGTAGCTTGCAGGAGAATTCCTTCAGGTTTATCTTAATTTACCAATAGTCATCATTATTGAAATGCCTCGATGTATCTAGCAGTAATTTATGAAGACATCTACTTTATTTTTGAACATTTCTATCAGTGTAGCAGAGTTAATGCCCTCAGGGGTGTTGTATTTTTGTATTTGTGTTGAGTATATTTACATTAATGTAAACTTTTCATCCAGTCTGCATGCATTATTGACATCATTGGCTTATAAATCTTCAGAACTGTGACACGCTGTTGCACTGCAAGTTTGTCAGTTTTTGGGGGTGGGGCTGAGGGTCAATGCAATGTCAAGCTGCAGGTGTGTATGTCTATTCTTGGGGTCATTACATTGTCATATTTTGCATACATCTTCCATTGTCTGGATCCAAGAGTGAATGTCTTACTATCTGTGAGGTTCTCTATTTCCGTGGTAGAATGGGGGAGGTAGATACTTATGGATCATCAGTCCATTATGTCTCACTCAATAACTTCAATCCACTGCCATCCATAATAAGGCCCTTCCTTCAGTCCCAAATGTGGAACGTTTAGCTTTGTAAGTGTACTGAGAGAATATTAACTCACCGACAAGTGATGGAAGACTCACTTGAAGTTGGCCAGATTCTGTTTGACAACTTGTTGAAAGGGACTTTGAGAATATCACTGGATATCGTTGGAGATTTGGATGAGGGATCCACCAATGTGTTTCATTGAGTGAGTTGCAGAAACACTAAGCTCATATGTGTGATGTGGATATAATGCTGGTCTGAATTAGGCCAGTGGGAGTGATTGTCCAACTGGCTTCAGAACCGATGGAGCAGTTTGGGGAATAAATCTCTCGACTCCTGGTTATCCAGTATCATCCAGTGGAAAGTGTACTCTCCACCTTCAACTAAGAGTCTCACAGAAACATTGGCGCCTTGCTGTGATCCACCAGAAATTGGGCAAGTGTTAAACAAACAAGTCCATTTCCTCAGAATAGATAAGCCACCCCACTTCTTTCAGTGGAGATGCATCTTCATGATCCCTGGGATTGCACATACTGTGCCCCCAACCGAAAAAAAAAAAGCTACCAATCACCCCACCCTGTCCCCCACACCCAACACCTACACAAATCAAAATTAAAAGAGCATTCATGCTCTATGTGTGCTCATTTACCTTAGAACGGGCACCTGATTCTTGTTACCTAACTTTGTGAACGGGCAAGCACTTGTACTGTCTTTGCAAAGTACTGTTCAGCGCATGCGTATACACACACGACTCTGTGCAAAGCCAGTGGTACACTGAGAAAATATATTCATGAGAAGCTTACCTGCAATTATGATTTCCAGAAAAGCATATGCTTGGGAAGTAAGCTTTGCTTTGCTTGGCCTTAGTTCTATTGCGAACCCTATAAATCCTTGTCTCAGTGAAGGGTGTAATAACTTTTTGACGACGCGGAGTGTGAGCAGATGGTACATTTTAAAATAAATAAACCTCTATGTGATATTAACCCTTTGCTCAGTGAATTTCTTTAGCTCACTATATGAAGCATGTTTTAACCTTTTGAAATGTTGCTTTGTAAGATTTTAAATTTGAGCGCGCAGATGAAATACATAGAACATTTCTTTGAAGTATTTTTTTAAATAAACTGAAAAAGTGCTGAAGTTGTCCTTTATTGTGATTTTTCTTTTTGATGTGAGGGAACAACGCCTTACAAATCATTCTAACCCAGAACTTACTGCATAGAAACAGGCCATTTAGCCTCCGTAGTCAGTGCTGGTTTTAATATTCTACATGATCTGCCTCCAGCCCTCTTCATCTCACCCTATCAGCATGTTCTCTTGCTTTCTATAAGTGGAAGCATCTCTGCCTGTTTTAGGATCTGTGTGCATTCCATAGTATTGATTGTTTTACAAGCGCTGTTGCTAACCTGGTTAAATGGTCCTTTGGTAATAATCCAATGAACTGCATAAGAGGATATGCCATCATACTGTATGTACAATATCTCAAAGCATTTCAAATGAAGTAGATTGCATTAAAATTTGTGTTATTGAAGCAAATGCAGCAGCTAAATTGCAAGCAGCATTGAGATGGATTACCAGCTGATCAATGCATCTGTATCCCATCTCCCCACCTTACACTTAGCATTGCACATCTCGTTGTTCCCCCTTTGTGGTCTGTCTGTCTCTGTTACCATTCACTTCTCATTCTCCACCCTGCTCCATATCCACCCTTTCTTTTCTCATTGCCCCATCCCCCTTCCTGCTGCTCAGTTTGCAGCTTGCTGTTCTCATCTGCATAGATTATTCCCTGCTAGCACCAGCCACATCAGTTCTTGAAAAAACCAATTGTGAATAATTTAGTACTTAAGCCCAAAGCAAACTTGTACTTTTATGGATCATTCACATTCTTCAATCAATCCAAGCACTTTATACAGGGAATGTTAAATACTGAGAAAGATGGCTGATGATTTAAGTGTTGATATTAAGCAGTGGTATTTGGGAGTACTGCATAGTTTTTACTACAATCTTTGTGCTTTGTGAACTTACACGGTCTCCAGTTACCACCAGTGTCCTGCACCAAGCGATCTACTTTATTTTTATTCCAACATCCATCCAGACTATTGTTCCACTGAAAAGCACATTTAGATTTATAGTAACTAATTTTCTGTAAATCTAATTACATCCCAGCTAGGAAACTTTAGCACATACAGCTTTTTGTGGTTTGTCAATTAGGAATTGCCCAATTTTTATTTGTTCAGTTCCTATGGAGACTATGGGATCAGCAGGTAAGTACTCATCATTGAGGCAGCAGGTGGGAGGTTCAAGTCCCACTGCTCAGTTTAAGCAAATAAACAATGTTTGTGCTAGAGGTGTTTAAATCAGATCATTAGGATTATGTAAAACGATATCAGAAATTTGGTATTAGAAAATTGAATTAAGTAATATTGAGTTAGTAAGTAATGTAGGCTGATACACTTTATGAAATACTGCATTATTTGAGGGAAGCTTTGTGATTCTGACTTCAGTGTTAAAGGCAGTGAATAAATTAGATGTTCTGCTCTCCTTTGTATGGGTCTTTAGACTGAGGGTCTGTCCTTTTAGGTGGATTTAAAAGGTTCTAGTGACCTGCACAAGGAGCAGGTGAATGCATCCCAATGTCTTGACTGAGATTTATTCTTCAACTAACATCATGAAAATAAACTATCCATCCAATTATCTCATTGCTGTTTGTGGGAGTGTCCTGTCTACAAACAGTCGTAGACTGTTAAACATCAAAATTGTTAAACAGCTTCTGATGGGGACTGTTCAGCTGATTTTACATTATCACAGCATCTACATTTCAAAAGTACTTCACTGGATGTAAAGAACTTCGGAACATCCCAAGTATGTGAAAGTTGCTATAGAAATACACGTTTTTCTTTCTTCTGAATCAAATGGAAATGTGGTGAAAGGAGCTAACCTCAATAGATTTCAAATGCAACAAATTAAAACAAATAAATTAATGAAAAAAGGGGACTGCCCTTGCAGGCTGCATTATTAACCTGCTTGCTGGTCAAAAAGTACAAAAACGCATCTGTTGGGTGACCTCTTCTTTGTCCCTCTCCCCCCTCAGCAGTGTGAGAAATTCAGGCTGCTGTGAACATAGAATTAGTCTCACTGTAAAATCACAGGACATTTATTCATGGCTTCTTTTCTCCTTGTGGCCCTATTGTTCTAATTTACCCCACTGTCCTTGTTATTGCTTCTAATATCCAGGGCAGGTGAACAGCAAAGCTCTCTCTATTTACACTGTCCCCATTAACTCCCAGGACAGGAATAGCACTGGGTTAGATACAGAGTAAAGCTTCCTCAGCGCAGTCTTTTTTTTTAAAATTTGGTGTGTCACTGGCTGGGTCAGCATTTATTGCCCATTCTGGTCGCCCTTGAGAGGGTGGTGGTGAGCTGCCTTCTTGAAAGACTGCAGTCCATTTGGTATGGGTGCCTCTACAATTCTGAGGGAGGGAGTTCCAGGATTTTGACTCAGTGACGTTAGGGGAACGGTGGTTGTGGTACAGGAACTTTTACAAGGAGCCTTTTCTTGTAGATGGTACACACTACTGCTATTAAGCATAGGTGGTAGTGGGATTGGCTGTTTATGGATGTGGTGCCAATCAAGCTTTGTTTGGATGGTGGCAAGCTTTATCAGGGTTGTTGGAGTCCTCCAGGCAAGTGGGGAGTATTCCACCACACTCCTGACATGTGCCCTGTAGATGATGGACAGGATTTGGGGAGTCAGGAGGTGAGTTATTCACTGCCTCTGACTTGCACTAGTAGCCACCATGTTTATGTGGCTAGGCCAGTTTCTGGTCAATAAGAACCCAGGTTGTTGATAGTGAGGGATTCAAAGTTAGGTTGGGGTGAAGGGGAGAGGTAAGCAGGTATGTGGAGACAATGACCAGAGAGAGAGATGAGCTAACCCATTTTCTCATTCTTAGCTCTTACGAGTTAGAACTCTAATCTCTTTGTTTACCTAACTATTCATATCTCTCTCTCTCTGGCCTCTGTCTCCACCAATCCGCTCACCTCTCCCCTCCACTCTCCCACCCTCCAACTCCCCACTTTGGCTGAAGCACAAATACAACTTTATCCAAGCTACTAACAGTTCTGACAAAGAGTCACTGGACTCGAAACAAAAAAAATTTGTTTTCTCTCCGTAGATGCTATCAGATCTGCTGAGTTTCTCCAGTAATTTCTGTTTTTGCATCAATGAGCAGGTTATTGCTCAGGAGTGCTGTTTGTTAGCACTGTTGACGATCCCTTCCATCATTTTATTCATTAACAAGTGTAGACTAATGAGGCAGTATTTGGCCAAGTGGGATTTACTTTGCTTTTATAGGACAGACTTGGGCAATTTCCATGTGTATCTGTGTTGTAGCTGTACTGGAACAGCTTGGCTAGGGGCGTGGCAAGCTCTGGACCTCAAGCATTCAGTGCTATTGCCAGAATTGTTCATTCAATACTGCATCATCAACAACATCTAAATCACTGAAGATAGGGACAGGGTAGCGGCAGCTGTTAGTACACTTGCAGTCAGTATCCAGTGGCATCAGCCATTTCTTGATATCATGTGAAGTGAATCAAATAGGCTGAAGATTGCCATCTATGAAGCTGGGGACCTCTTGAGGAGGCTGAGATGGACCATCCAATTGGCACTGCTGGCTGAAGATTGTTGCAAATGCTTCAGCTTTATGTTTTGATGGTAAGCAGCAATGTAGTGGTAATATCACTGTTATTCTAGAACTCAGGCTAGTATTCTGAGATAAGGGTTCAAATATCACCATGGCAGATGATGAAATTTAAATTCAAAAATTCAGAAGAGATATGGTTGATGCTTGATTGCTCTCTGGGCAATCAGGGATTGGCAATAAATGCTTGTGATGCCCACATCCCATGAACACGTTCTTTAAAAAAAAGGAAGTCCCCATCAAACGCTCACAGGACAGGGACAGCACGGGGTTAGATACAGAGTGAAGCTTCCTCTACATTGTCCTCATCAAACACTCCCAGGACAGGGACAGCACGGGGTTAGATACAGAGTGAAGCTTCCTCTACACTATCCCCATCCATCACTCCCAGGACAGGGACAGCACGGAGTTAGATACAGAGTGAAGCTTCCTCTACACTATCCCCATCCATCACTCCCAGGACAGGGACAGCACGGCGTTAGATACAGAGTGAAGCTTCCTCTACATTGTCCTCATCAAACACTCCCAGGACAGGGACAGCACGGGGTTAGATACAGAGTAAAGCTTCCTATTTTTTTTAATCTGAAACTAAAAGCAAAGCTTCCCCCGACACCGTATCCATCAAACACTACCAAAGGCAGATACAGCATGAGGTTAGATACAGAGTAAAGCTACCTCTACTTTTGTAGACTGAAAGCCAAGCTTTCTCTCTGCTTTTAAACTGAAAGTAATGCTGCCTCTATGCCATCCCTATAAAGCACTCCCTGGACAGTAAAGCACCGGGCTAGATACAGAGTAAAGTTGCCTCTACGCTGTCCCTATCTTTGTTCTTTTGTGATTTACGTTTTGGTGATGGTGCAGCATTGAAAAGAGAATGTGTTTCTTACTGGTTGCTTCATGTCCAGTTTTCCAAAATAAGTGTTCAGTCTCTTTTCAATTTGGCTAAACAGTGTATCACTGATTTATTAATTAGACTAACTCATTCATCCTTTAATCATGGTATCAATGGCACTGTGTCACTGTTTCCCTGGAATTGCATAACTATTTCTGTGGTCCACAGTCAGATTGCCACCAGTGTTTTCTATTGGATGAACGAAGCTCCTGTTATTTAGGTATTCCCCCTGCAAATAGTATGTAACATATTTCTCCCAACCTCATATGCAAACTATTTGTGTGTCATAAAATGTGGTTTTACACTGTTTCTGCGCAAAACCACGAGTTAGCAATAATTACAATTTATTGTCACAGGAGGGCAGCAATAGGCATTATAAATATAGCCAATGTTATTTAACCTTTGAGACAGATTTGCACATTTCCAGAGTCTTTTATAACCTGAGGGCAATGAAAAAAATGTTTACAGTTACATTAATACTTTGTAGTGTAGTCGCTGTTGTAGGACAAGTAGCAACCAACCAATTGAAGCAAAGCAAGTTCCCA